AGCATAAGGTCCCTTCCAACTCGTTATTCTCATTTCTGATCTCTCAAGGTAGGCTAGAGTGAAGGGAAGTTAGATAATTTCTCCTTAGATGAAATTATATTTCTCCTTAGATGAAATTACCTACTTAAGATGAATTTCTCTGCTCATGATAACCTCATCTTGGCTAGGAACTTTCTTTAGAAATGTTCACCTGTGATCTGCTGTGGAGGAAACAGGGAAGAGGGAAAGAAGTATCCCAAATTGCTCTGTGAGCAGCAGAGCCTCTGAAGGCTGTATTCCAATGGATTTATGTTCTATGTCCCTCATGCTCCTGCCCATTCAAGTGGCCAGTATGCCCTGTCTCCTCTTCATAACTATCACCTGACCTCCAAGGTATTCCTCCAGGGCTACAGGGGCAATACCCTCTTCCCTGGAGTATCTTCAGATCTTCCTCACCTCTTTTAACTGCAACTCATCTTCGCCTGCTCAGTACTTGCAGCAATCTTAGAAGACTTTTAGCTATTTCTCAGGCATCCGAAGGTCAGAAGAGGGGACCCATTGTTACAGAAGACAAGGGAAGTAGCAAGTCAAAACACTGAAAACTGCTGAATGCCGAAAAATTGCTAAGGCACCTGGAACAGCAGCAGAAGCTGACCAATTTTCTGTGGTTTTGTGCAACTGTAGTAACATTCATAGTGGGTTGTGTTTCAATTTGCATGTAGAAACTTATACTCCAACTTGGAGATCTTCTGAAAAACATCAGTATTGTGAAAAGCAGGTGAGTTTTCTGTTTGACTCCCCAAAAAATAAAATTCCCATATTCACAGCCTATATTTCAGCAGTGTAAAATCCTGGGCAATTTCAGAAGTTGTTTCCTTTCAAAAAGATTCTTCAAAACATTTTTAATTCTTGGACCCAAAATAAGATTCTCACACAAATCCAGGCCTATTTTTCCTAAACATGAAGAAAACTCCTCAGACAAGAACCAAATGTTTTCTAGAGCATAAACATCCCCCCCCCCCCAGTATTTACCTTCATCATGCCTTGCAAGTAAGGGGAGTACTCTGATTGCCATTTTACATACGGAACTGAAGCTCAAAGGGCACATTACTTGCCTGCTATCAGATAGAAGCATGGTAGAACAGGGAAGTGACTACCGTCCTGTTCCCAAGACAGTGTCTTAAACGCTGCACCATTTTTCTTGCAAGGCCCACAGAGTCTGTGATATTCACAAATACACCTCGGATCAGAGGCTAATACATAAAAATGAGAGCTTTAATATGCTTTGACCTGTACTTTGGTTTTGCTCTCTCCCATTATACACTGTCCGCATAGAAACACTGTCTACCTGCAGCACTTTCCCAGAAGCTAGAAAATAATTTCCTTCCACTATCAAACATACTATTTGGGCAGCCTGGCACCAAAGAAAAAGCCAATACAGTGTTTCATTTACTGCTGTGTCTGCATGTTAACCTAAAGGTCAGAAGGACTGTACACAGTACTGAGAAAATGAGCAGTTAATGATTGCTAGACTGCAAGAGGGGAAAATACACGACTTACATTGGTTTAGAAGACCGCAAATCACTAGCACTGCTTCTTTTTCTTCACTGTATTTTGTGGAAGGCCATATGTACAATAACAATTATGACGTTTGTTGGAGTCTTTTCAATGTGCTTTGAGTAGGACAGAAAAAAATGTCCTCTCATCAGTGTGAACAATCTCAATGAAACATGCACAATATTTAGCAAGAAAATCCCATTTTTCTTGCTATGTATAATCTGGCAGCTTGCAGTATCTTTTGCCATATTTACTCCTTCTGAAGTGTTTGTGCTTGAGGGTTTCATTGCATCATCAACAGTCTGTAATGCTCTGAAACTAAGCTGTGTTTAGACCAAAATGCCAGACTTGTTCTTCATGGCACAAGTTTTAGTAATTTCATAACTTACCAGCATACAACAGCAGGCCTAAACTTAGTACAATGATGCCCTGTTGGGGCATCAAAGCACTGGTTAAAACTTTCCTCCAGTCCTCTAAAGGCTGAAGTTGTATTTGCTGTTCTTACTGCAACTAGCATAAATAAGAAAAAAATGCATTTGTATTACAGAATAGTTACAAAAAGCTGTTTTAAAAAATCCTAAAAAGGCATTTTTATCAAATGTTTTGTCTCAACCTTTCCATCAGAACAATCAGAACAGATGGACCCTATGGGTTCCTCTGCAGAAGGCAGACTAATAATTATATAGAATTATGCATCATTGTAAACACATCTAACAACTTTGTGTGATAGCACTGAAAAGTGATAGCTGTTGCAGGCTACAGAAGTAGCAAAACCTCCTACTTCCAGAGGAAGATAAGGAGAGTCCTGCGGGGCACAACTTCACCTGTTACTGGGTAGCTAGGAGAAGGAGAGGCTTACCTCCAGTGTCCAAGAGCAAAACAAAGCATTGTCACGAAGCCCAGAAAGCCAGCTGCAGGATTAGAACTTCCCATCTGAGTCTTGTGCAAGTCTCCAGGCAGCTGGCAAATGCCAGGGCAATCACAAAAAATTTCAGTGTAAATAGTTCTGGAGAATTATTGCAGTATGTTCCTTGTTGACTTGACAGTTTTATCCAGACAGAATGTCAAAGATGTGAAAAACACATTCACTGCTCTAACAGTTTAAAGACATGGGCAATCAGCCCACTTTACTAGGTGGAACACAGCAAGTAAGAAGTGATGATCATTAAAACCAATTCTTTCCAGAGTTCAGGTTCACTTCAGGATGCAAAACACACTGTTGCAAATACTGTACAGGAAATCACAAAACTTAAAAAGCTTTTTTGCCATGGAATGAATTACAGATCAGGACCGACAAACATGCACGGTTCTATAAATGCTACACTACTGAGTTCATGTACTCAAATGTTTTGCAATGTTTAAGTAATAAGAAGGCAGAAGGCTCAGCACCTGCCAGCAGCAACCAGTTCTGAAACCATCCAACATTTTTCTAGGCAAGATCCAGACCTGGCAAATTGCTCAACTTCACAAAGCAAACGACAGACAGATTATCTTATCTCCTAACTCAGTAGTTTAATAGCCTCTGTCACATCACTTATCCTGAAGAGTGGTTTCTTTCACACTACTACCATGACGTATGTTTTTTAAGCATGCGTCACCAAGTGACAGAAGCAGCATTATTTAACAATTCCCAGTTTCTCCAGAAACTCCTTGTTTTGCAGCTAGTCAGTTATAGATGGAGAGCCCGAGTTTAAGCAATACTGTATTTCCACTGCAAACACACTTTAGACAACTTTGCTGAAACTGATGCATCTCTATGTTTTGTCTGAGAAAACAGAACCCAAGGCTCCCGCATTTCCATAGTTTCATTGAAGAAAGAATTAAGTGATTAAAAAACCAGTCTGTTCCTCAATTTAATTGCTTCTTCTTTTCCCAGGAAACACTGAATTAGCTTTGTGACGGTGTTAGCAGTTGTGACTGTGCTATACAGTGAAACATCTGTCATTATCCCTACAGTGAATGTGTATACTTCCTCCAGCTTCAGCCATCATGTGAAATCACCTGAGAACTCAAAGAAATCAAGTTTGATCTCATTTTTCCAGCAAGCAAACAAAAAACTTGTAACGCTCATAGTGGTAACAGGTGACTGAGGGGTAAAAAAAAAAAAAAAAATCAACTCAAAGCAGAAACGCATGTTTGAGTGGGAGGGGAACAGTAATGACGGGTAGAAAAAGAATCGCAAGTAGCAGAGAACACTGTGAACATCCAGTCTTTCATCTGTCACCTTAATAAATGCGTGATGTCCAAAAAAAAAAAACTACTGACTTCATAAGTAACATTCACAAGGCATACATTCTTCCTAACATATACGATCTTGCAGTGCTCCTTAAAATGTTGTATAACATAATGAAGTGCTAAAAAAAAATCAAAAGGTAGTATACTCAAATTAATGCACATGCTACATCTGTACTTGAGAACAATACCGGTTAGGTTATAGACTGTAACTAGAGATTATAGACTTGTTTATTTTCACTGAAATCTGAAAACACATAGTTTATTCAGAACCAATTATTAAGAGAGACATAGAATTTAGGTAAGGATTTTTGGTAGGGGCAATGCTTTGCTTGCCTGTTCTAACTATCATTATGCTCACCGTGGAAAAGTGTTTCTAAAAAGAGATTCTTTAAAGTATCTGCTCTTTTACCCAAACATCTGGTGTTAACCTCCTGTATTAGGTGTACCAGTTAGGGTTTTGGTGACAAGGAAGGCAGGCTGCAGGAGTTGCCCCACGCTGGACACAAACAGCTCCAGCTGGCTCCTCAAAGAACCCACTGCATGACACAGCTCAGCCCAGCAGCCAAGCAGGTGGCACCTTTGTGAGAACATCAGACAAGCAGAGGAAAGAGGGGGAAAAAGTGAGAAACAGCAGTATGAACAAAGTCAGGAAAGAAGGTGGGGAAGGAGGTGCTCTAGGCACCAGAGCAGGTATTCCCCTGTAGCCTCTGGAAAAGACCTTGTTGGAGCAGCTATCCACACTGTGGCCTGAGGAGGAGACCACACTGGAGCAGCTGGGTATTTCTTGAAGGAATTGCAGCTCATGAAGAGCCTATGCAGGAGCAGGGGAAAAACATGAGGAGGAAAAAGCAACAGAACTGTTGTGAACTGACAGTTACCCCCTCCATCAGCTGCTCAGGGGACCAGGAAGGGAAGAAACGGAGGAGTTAGGAGCGAAGCCAATCCTGGAAAAAGAGAGGCAGTGGGAAGGTGCTATTTTAAATTTTGTTTCTCACTATCCAAATCTATTTTAATTGCCATTAAAACTACATTAATTTACCCCAAGTTGAGTCTGTTTTGTCTGCAACAGTAACTGGTAAGCAACCTACATGTGTTTATCTGGACCCACAAGCTTTTTCATCCAATTTTCTCCCCTGTCCTACTAAGGAACCAGAGAGTGGCTGGGCAGCACCTGGCCAAGGTTAACCTGCACGCCTACTTGAGAAACAAATTAAAAAAATACACACTGGTTTAAAAGGAAGAAATTTTAATGTACAAATGTACACTCACCTTGTTACATTTTCTGCACTGATCTCTCTCAGTATATACTTTTATCATGTTTTCGTAATAAAACCACAAAAAATAATTCTCAAACTAGGGAGAAAACTGCAGTGTCTGCATGATTTATTCTAGTCACAATTTATTCTACAAGTGTCTACATATTAACAAAAAAATGCTCTTCCCTTTTCTCACAGAAACAAATATTTTACTTCTAATCTCAAGAATCATACAGCTCTCTACAGTCTGTGCATTATGTCCCAGTATCCTCTGTCAAAACTAGCATGAGTTTATCTCTTAGGACTTCAAGCAGTAGCCTTTGTTGCTCCTCATGTGCCCACACAACATATTCAGAATTCTTCTCCAGCAACACCCAAAGACAGAGTTCAGTGAAAGAAGAAATGGCTGAAGATGTCCATCTTCAGTTTTGCCTTGCAATACACCCAGCCGCCAACATTACTTTCTTCCAAATGGATCAGACCATACTTTTAACCCTACAAATCAAATATGAGAATAACAGCAGTTCATAACCAGGCTGTTGGAGGAAAAAAAAAATAGAAGAAAATTGGTCTGCTACTGCAGCCTGGTGTACAAAACAATAAGGAACCAAATAATTTCTGCCCTGAACTCACAGCTCTGCTTAAGCTTGCAAAAATATTTTAAAAGGCAACTTCCTCTTGCTCTTAAGCTTCAGATAATGGAAAAATTTATTACATTCATAAGTAAGGTGTTCTAATATTGCTGGAACAACCATCTAGAATTGCACCTTGTACTTAAACTTGTCTAGATTTCACTTTCATCTAGTGGATCTCATAACTTCTCAGCAGCAGCTAAATTTAGATGGAAAAGATATAATGAGGAGAACTGGTCCTCAAGTACCAGCATCTTGGATAAATGAGCCAGTCCAGCCCTCTTTTATGTTTAATAAAAAGGCAGGTTTACCTGACTTCTATTTTGCAATACCCTTCCTACTCCTCTTCAGCATTTCACCACTTTCCTGGAAAATAAGTCCTGCACCAATGATTGAACTGATACGTGTAGTAATGACATGGCATTAATCCTATTTGGTTTTCCCCTGATGCTGATGGCAGGCTTTTCTAAAAACAGGAATACATTACCCTTTAACATACTCAGATATGAACTATTTCATCAAGACATATCATGTCTTTAAACAAGACACATCATGTTTAAAGACGCATCATGTCTTTAAACAAGATGTGCTAACCTTACATAATGAATAGCCAGTTCCATTAGCCATGAAACAATGAACTACCAAGGACAGTCTGCCATACTTTAATTTTATTCCCCTCATATGCCCTTCTACGGGCAACAGGGATCAAAAGGCTATTAGCATTCCAAATTTTCTTTGTATGTAGTAGATTTCTGCCTCATCCCTCCACCCATGAGGCTGGAAGGTACTTCAAAGTGCTCATAAATTGTTTTTCAGCCGAGTTGTAAAGCAGTATTCCACAAACCAGGGTACAATAGTGTATTCTTTATAACTACAGCTCATCTCAACCACGGTTCTTGGTTGCTCTGGTTCAGAAGTTAATTTCTAGTATGGAAATTGACATCTATTGAAGAAAGTGCGAAAATAGCAATTACTGCAACTTATTTGCCTTGTTAAGCCAATTTAAAACAAATTTCATTAATCTGTACTTTTCAACTCAAGAATTAGCCTGAAAAAAAAATCCATGGCAAGTTTATTATATATATTCTTTGAATATATTCTTTACTGTATTATTTAAATCCATGTAAGTATTCCAGTCTTACTTCAAGAAGGTCTTTTAAACAATCAATGCAAACACATGAATCAAGTATACCTGCAGGCTGAATATCCTCTTGAACAACCCCAGCTCGGTTTATTGACTGTTCTTTCTCTGGAAAACAGAACAGAAAGGACACTACTAAGAAGAAAGAGAATACCAGACATCTTGAGTGCACCCATTTTATTCATTCTACATGCTACACAGTAAAAGTCTGTTGAGTATCCACCTACATAATGGAATGGAGTCTTAATACACTGAGAAACTAACAGCTTGTCTGTTTTGAGAGATTACAAACAATAAGATCTTAAAGTAATGACTACTGTTCAACAGAAGATGCAAAAACACGTCATGATCTTATCACATAAGGACTAGTACTTTCAGGAGCTCACAGGCTCAAGGTAACTCTCAAGATTTATTCTTTCCAAGATCAGTGACCCCCATTTTCAGGCCCTGAAAGATTTTGCATCTTACCACAAGCAGATTTCATGACAGCATCTACAAAATTACTGCGCGTAAACTGTGTGAATTTAAGTATTGGAGGGATATTTTTCCCTACAATGGGCCTGTCTCAGACTTTTTTGTTTTAAAGATTCAACCACCTGAAAGACAAGACATGGCAAAAACTATGTAATTTCCCTTTACTAAAGGCACCTCCTTTTTTCCTCCCTGCCAGTTAAGTACTTCACCCCTGTGGTACTTTGAAGCAGGAAGTCAAAGCTCTGAATTAGCCTTCTGCCCAGACCACTGAACTTTAAACAACTATAGGGTGCACGTTCTCAGGGGAAACTCAGAACTAAGTTCAACTTAAAACTGAAACCTTTCAGCCTCCTATCCCACTGAGAATGGCCAGGCACTATGTGTTATTAGGCTGTCGAGGTACAAGCCTAATGCTACTGGAAACCAGCAGGCGTATCACAGTAATTGATTCGACTTGCAAGGGGGGCAGGCATGGGAGGCAGATCCAGCTGTTGCTCCAGAGAACTAAAATCAATTCTTGCCTTTTGCAAGATTACTGTGTGATGTTAATGATGATGTCCAGCTTCAGACCCAGCATTCCAAAATGCAGAAATACTGAGTATCCACCACAGCTCAAGGCAATGGAAGTCTCCTTCCCTGGAGACATTCAAAACCCGCCTGGACACATTCCTGTGTAACATTATCTAGGTGTTCCTGCTCCGGCAGGGGGATTGGACTAGATGATCTTTCGAGGTCCCTTCCAATCTCTAGCATACTGTGATACTGTGATAAGCATCAAGAAAAGCACATAAGAAATAAGTAAAGGTCAGATCAAAGGAGAATTTGAGCAGCAAGCAGTAAGTTTAGACTTGCGTATTAAATAGAAAATTTAAGCACTTGCTAACTGTGCATCACTTATATGCTAAACCAAGACTAAAAAAAAACCCTAACCTACAAGGGAACACACGCTCACATAACACACAAGTACAAAAGAGGATGTCATCTACTAGTTGTCTCCTTCCCCTAACGCAGTCTCACTTCTGGTATTATATTCTTGAAAAGTGCATCATAAGCAAAAATTAAGGTTTTTCAATAGGAACACAGAGTAGAAAACCTTTGTGGGCAGTTTCCAACTTCACAGGCATAGCTTCCTTAAATAAAAATCTGCTTGCAAATTTAATTTTAAATCATCTTTGATGCAAGGCTAAAGTCCCTCCAAGATCAGTAAGTTTGTTACCTTTTCCTTTTTTTTACGTCTTCCTAGAAATCGCTTCAGTTGTCTCAGGAGATTAACCACATATATCTTCAGGCTGTCGTCAACAGCTTGCTGATTTTTGCACAAGCTGAAGCAAGGGGATGAGGCAGAACTTTTACCCAGAACCTTTACCCGCTCCCTTCCGCGGTACTGAACACAAGCTCACGGGTGCTTCCCCTACCGTTCCCGCGGCGCGGAGGGAGCCAACGCTGGCAGCCGCGGGGCTTCGCACCCGAACCTACAGGCGACTACGAGAGCTCCCTCGTCCCAGGGCCCAGGGACGGGCTTTGGCGGGTTTTGTGTGGTACTGGCAGGAAAGCGGGCTCTCCTCAACAGCCAGTTTCAGACCGAGAGCAGCTCTAGCAAACCATCGCAACCGGTAAAGAAACTGTTAGCACTGTTTAAGGTAAACACTTAAATTGCAGCTGGAAAACATAACTCAACTTAAAAGAGTCACAGAATGATCTGTTTGGGTTGGAAGAGACCTTTAAAGGTCATCTAGTCCATTCCCCCCAAAATAAGCAGGGCCATCTTCAAATCTCTCACGTTGCTCAAGAGCGTTGTCCAATCTGACCTTGACTGTTTCCAGGAATAGGGCATCTACAACCTGCTCCAATGCCTCACCATCCTCATTGTAAAAAAACGTATTCCTTGTATCTAGTTTGAATCTACCCTCCAAATATAGAACCATCATGAATTGTCCTATGGCACTGTCCCCATCCTTTTTGTAAGCCCCCCGGAGGCACTGGGAACTCTGGGCTCTAAGGTCTCCCCTGAGCCGTCTCCTCTCCAGGCTGAACGAACCCAACTCCCTCCGTTTCAGCCCACAGGAGAGATGCTCCAGCCCCCTTATCGAACCCTTTAACTGCCTTTCCGCCCTCGTAACAGCTTCAGTGAACAGCTAAAGGGTGTCCTTGAGCACGTACTGGCCTGTAACTTGAAACAAGAGTACTACGAGTTTGTTTTTCTTTTTAAGTATCTCTCAGGCAAGCAGAAGCCTCTCGGCCACTCTCACCCTCCGGCAGCCCTGGGGCACCCTCAGGCGGGCCCGCTCGCGCTCCCTTCCCGTCCCGCCCCGCAGCGGGACACAAACCGCTCACGGCCCGCTCCCCTCCCGCCGCGCAGGCACTCACTGTACTCCTCCGGCATTAGCAGCGGCCGGAAGTAGATAGGGTAAAAAGCCGCCGCCACCACGGCCACGAAACCACCGAAGATACCGACCGTGCGGTACAGCCCCGCCATCGCCGGCGGGCACAACCCGGAAACCATGTGCCTCCTACTTCCGGGACGCACCGGATGCTCCGCCTCCCCTGCCTGGCGCGGCAACAGCGGCGGGCAGCGCCCCCGTGCGGGCCGGCGGGGCACAGCCCGGTGTCCGCGGAGCTCGGCGAGGGGAGAGGGCGCCGCGACACACCCGCCGCTGTTCGTTGTGTCACGACGGGCCAGGCGACCAGCACTGTCCGCTGTACCGGCGTCCGCACGCCTCTGCGCTGCCCCACGGCACGGCCGGGGAGCTCGGCCCCCACAAAGAGCTCGGCCCCCGCAAAGAGCTCGGCCCCCGCGTGTAGCCCGGCCCGGCCCGGCCCCTCCACGCCCTCGGCACCTGGCTGCGGTGGCCCCTCCTCCAGGAAACCGGACCTGCCGCGTCCTTGTCGGCGTGGCCGGGCTCGGACTCCCGGGCTGGGCAGCGCCGCCACCGCGGTGGTATGGACCCTCCGGCTGAGCGCCCCGCCGTGCCCCGCTGCCGCTCCCTTCTGCTCCTCCTGCTGTTCCTCACGGTGAGTGGCGCCCGGCCCCGCACCTGCCCTGGCCCGGCCCGTCGCGTCGCGGCCAAAGACTGGCTGCGGCGAGTGGCCGGGTCGGGCGGCGGCTGGCGGTGAGCGCCCAGCCCCGCGGGCGGGGTACGTGGGTGCTCCGCGGTGGAGCTCCGCGATTGGGGGGGCGGTGCGGGACTGCAGGTTGTGGTCGGTCGGGGCCGGAGCCGGTGCCCAGGGGTGCGCGGGGGCCGAGGCTGCCGCTCGGAGCCAGCCTCGCGGTTGTCCGGCCCGGCCCGGCCTGGCCCGGCCCGGCTAACCCCCTCCAGCCCCACGGTTATGCCGCGTTATGGATCTGGGGGACATGAGGTCATTAAATCGAGGTGTTAGAAAGCTTTACCGAAGTGACGTGATATTTGGGGTTTGAAAGAAGGGGGGTGTCTTTGACATCTACTTACACGTGTCACTGTGGGGCTGCTCTGGCTTACAGAAACAGATGCATTTTAGAAGCATCTACTGAGCTGCTTTTTCCTCTTAAGGCTGTTGAACACGAACTCGGTTAAACTCTCTATGCCTGTAGGGGGTATTGATGCTGATGGGCAGCTTTTTGGCATGTTTCCTTTTCAAGCATCTTAAGATCTAGTGTGGCATGGTGGGTGTTCACAGGGAAAGGGCTCTGGTTATCTGCAGACTTCGTGCAAACAGGTGCAGTTTCAAGGGGCTGTGTGGGATGTCTGCAGGGGTGAGCTCCGGGAGGGTCCTGCTGAGATCTTACTTCCAGTAAGTGAAGGAACAGTTTCTCATCATTTCTGTATGTAATACACTGCTGAAAAATTTCCCTTCCCTATTGGTTGTTGTGATTGCCTCACACAATGATTCTCATCCCAGCGTCTGATGGGGTGACTTGTGCTAACTCCTCCAGATTCAGCAGGTTTTAAGAAAAAGATCAAGAAAAAAAAAGAACTTTTAAATTTTTTGTGGCTAAGTTGTCCCATACAATGAAGCCTTTCTTATTGAGCTCTGCCAGTTTATGGTCACAGTTTGAATCCAGCATACGTGGCCTCTTTACTGTGCTGGGAAACTTTTATATTTAAATCTCATAATCACACTTATTGTGTAATCCTTTCATCCTCGCTCTCGTGGTTGGAGATGATACACAATTAACTCTACCTTGTCTGAGATAACGGAGGGAAGGTGCTATGCACATTATGCAGTGCTCTGGGGACCCTGTGTAGAGGCAACCAAGTGGTAACGGAGACACAGCTGTGGTCTGGAAGAAGTTACGGTCTGTGGTCTCTGCTGCAGGGTGTGGGATGGCTCAGGGGTCTTTGCACCATGCTCCTTGCAGTATGAGCCTCCAGAAGGGTAGGTTAGGTGTGGTGTAATGGCAGACCCAAACATGCTTCTTAAATTTTTGTAGCATGTGTCTCAACTAATACCCAAGGCACCAAAGAATAGGAAGAAAAGTTTCTTGAGTAACTCTATGGGAGTCATTTAGCAGAACGGGCACTAAGGGAAAGGCAGTAAGGCTAGCAGAGCTGAAGCTCACCTTGTGCATCAGCAGTCACGGTACCTCACACTTAAGTGCTCTATGAGCATCATGGAGTTGCTTCTACAAGGAGCCGGCTTTGGATTGCAGAGCTTTCTACCATGGGATCCCCACCGCAAATTTTCTGCCACTCACTGGAAGTCACATGGCCACATTCGTACACTGCTGTATCTTTGTTAACTGTGCTAGACCCAAGCTGTCATTGCTGGAGGTCAGCTCCCATATTGCTGTATTGGATAAACCCCTGAGAAAACTGGGAGCTGCCTGTGTGTATTTTGACAGTAAATATGTGTATGTGGTAGGCACACAGTGGTACCACGGTGCTTTGTAGTGTCTACCTGCTAGACTGCTACATTTTGTGCTAGCCATGTGGCATTGCTTTCATAACATATTACCATCTTCCTCATGACACAGCTCCATATCACAGGGATTAAGCTGTTTGCAAGTACTCTTTATTGTGAGATTAAAAAAAAAAGTTAGGAATACGAATGATAATTACCAAGTAGAAGAGATTTACAAGAATTTGTCTTTACTGCTATGCACTTTTGATGGTTTTAGAGGTATCTAGGACCAAAGAAGCATTATGTAGGAAGCATAAAAGAATAGTATCTTTGTCAAGTCAAGCTCTGAAAGATAATAAAATTAATATTAAAATTAGGATTCTCTTATCAACTTTTGTATGAGTGTTAGTGTATGTGGTTTTGTTACAGGATATGGTGGTAACTTTTCCAATGGACACCAACTTCCAATTGTGATTACTTTTTTAGCCCTTTCAGTAGGCATTGTTTTTCAGTATCCATATTTATACCTTCACAGGTTTTGCTGGCTTTATGTTTTTAGAGTGCAGCTCTCAAGCAGTGTTAACCTATCTTAAATAAAAGCAAAATAGTTTATCATTAAGGACTTTTACTGATCCCCATATTGGATCACAGTGAAGGTCTTGTACTCCAGGTGCATGACACATAATGCTGATAATTAGAAATGCACTAATAACTTGGCCAAAGCTTTTAAGAATCACAGTGAAAAGCCATCAATCCAAGATAAATTTCAGTTCAATTTGTTTAAGCTTAGCAAAGTTAAAAGTTACCAAAGACATATCTTCTCATTTTAAGCAATCTTAATGACCAGCTTTCCTGGTAATCCTAAGAGGCAATTCTGAATGTTTTAGATGGATCAGGGGACCTGGCAGAAGTGCGGTCCTAGTGACTGCCCTCTAAGCTAAGTAATCTTCAGTATCCTTGGCAGTGCATCAAGCCGTATGCTGATTGCAGAGCAAGAAGAAAAGAAGCTGTTTGAAGCCGTAGGTACAAGAACTTCAACATGGAGGATGATCCTGGTGTATGTCCAAACACTCACAAAGTTTATTATAATGTACGTAGCTGCGGAGAGCAGAAGCTGGGCAAAAACTGCCTGCTGGTCTTGCTGCTCAGATTTGTAAGTCTGTCTCCAGGATAAGAACATTTCAATAATAATCTCCTTAACACTTCATGAACATTAATTCATTCTCAGGAAGCCTTAGTTCTTACGACGTCCTACAGGTATCTGCATGAGAGGTGACAAAATTAGCTAACTTTTACAAAAGATACAGAAACTTCATGTAGTGGCAGTACTAGTGGACAACAATACAATGAATAAATGCCAGTACTTTTTAGTATATACTCTTTAGGGATGATTCTAGGAGCATGTGTCAATAGCATGACGTGTAAGTCAGTATCTTAGACCGGATTCCATTTGCGGAAGGGCGAAAGGATACACCCTGTAAATACAGTTTGTTTGTAGAAGCATGTGTAACTATGAGAATTTGATGTAAGGGAGTTGCTACCATTAAAACCTTGATGATAGCTCTCCAGTAATGCACATCTGCTTGCTGTGTGAAAGAAACCTAATATTCTGGAGCTCATGCATGGTATGTAAACCTTCTGCTTGTGCATTGCTTCATGTGCTTCTGTTATTGCTGCAGGTATATTAGTAATCATGTAAACTTAGATTCTCTGGTTAACATGTTTTGTGTTTGTTTTTCTTTCCAGAATTTTCTGCTATCCTTTGGAAAGGAAACATTGCGGACAACGGCAGTTCAGTTTGAACCAAACATGAGTTATGTGGACTTTATTCATTTAAACATTTTAGAAAGGAAGGTTCTTAACAGTTCAGAAGTTTCAGTTCAGTATTTGTGTTCTAAGCCTTGTATTATCAACTTAGAAGCAGTAGCTTCTTCCGAGTTCAGGACTGGTGTACCAGTGTATAGAAGGAGATGGAAAGATGAGAAGAACCTTTATGTCAGCAGAACTCGACAAGTACATTTGAAATTTCCGAGCATCATGGTTTACAGAGATGACTATATCATCAGAAACTCAATAATAGTGCACAGTGTGATATTATACGCATGGATTAGTCACAAATCAGTTACCAGCTATGATACTGAGCAGAAGGAACACTACCAGGATGCAGTTGCCAAGAACTACACTTTCTTAGAAGCAGTTCCACCTTTTGAGCGCCCGTTTAAGGACCACAAAGTTTGCTTTCAGTGGGGTGCTGACTATTTGTGGATGCTCCAGGCAAACAGGATACCTCAGTGCCCTCATGAAAGTGGTAGGTATAATGTCACTTTTTTTCCCCCAGGAAACTAATGGGACCCAAATAACATCCTTGGTAAGCTGTTAAAAGCACATACCAGTAGTAAATAGTAAATGTTATGTAGGATGATTTACTTGGCAAACATTGAACATTTAAACCTCATAACTGAGGGGTGAGAGTTGCAAATGACTGAAGCTGTCATGTCCCTCAGGACTGACTTGTTTCATCACTGCCAGCTTGGAAATTTGTAGCAGCATGGCCTTCTATTTTCTAATGTATTCAAACAGCGTTATTTAAAAACTAGTGATTGCCAGTGGAAAGCATTCCTTTGTCTTCAGAGAGCATTGTTCAGTCCATACTGCTTTAGGTCAGTTCTTGCATACATAATTCTCACACAGGTAGTCTACTGATGCTT